AGCACCTCCGGATGTGTACGGATCTCTCCCGAGGGCTCGGACACACTAGCACAATGGAAATGAGGACAAATGAGTGTGTCGCAGTGTTGTTGACATCAAAATGGCATGGGGACGAGGAAGCCATGTGACGGCGTGCAGAAGTGTGGCCTGGAGACAGGCCAGTCATCGCTGGCACAGTGGCGGCCGCTGCTCCTCTCCGCCTCTGCACCATGACGGATGGGCGGGCAGACAGCTGTTTAACATCACAAGATTTACAGCCTCCCATAGCAGCCGTCAGTCCAACACCTATCAGCCTGAAGTAAATCTCCTGTCTCCTGCCTCTCAGAGAGGAGTGTGTGAACCGAGAAGCCGCTCGAGCAATCGGCTGTTAATCACCTGACCTCTATTGTTCTGCCATAACCGAGGCCAGGCCAACCCCTATCGCTCTTCCCCTGCTCCTCTTTCACTTTCACTCTCTTCTCCACCCTCTCCTGCCTAAGGATGTGCCTAGCTACATATTTTGAAAATCGATTTGTTGGAGGGTTGCCTGAATGGCTAATTGACTAATCAATGTTAAAGAAGCCCAGTATAATTAGGGTTTTTGAGATGCACCAGACACAAGGTTAACATTTCTTATTAACATAAGACACATCCTTGAGTTTAAGCACGCTAGAGTCTCCAGACACTCTTATTAAATGCATCCTAAAATGCTTTCTAAATTCATGTTATCGATATCATTGTGAATGATTCATCTGAGCATGAGTTTCATTCTTAACATTTTTCTGAGCTCGTTATTTATCAAAACGACTTAACTTGAACTCCTGGTGAAACTACAGACTTGTCCCTAGTGACGTATTCCAGATTTTTCAATCACTTCAAACGCATTTAGATCTGCCTCCATCCAGTCAATAACTGATGGATAGAACCATGGATGGGAACTCTTTCTTTTTTTGAGAGAGTACTCTGTTTATCACAATACAGATACTGTAAAATGATCGGTCACTACTTCCGTTTCATCAACTTCAAAAAACTGTGCAAGACCAGAGACCAAAGATCTGTATGTTGCTCTAAAAAAGAGGATGGATTTACAGATGAAGAGTTCAGATGCAAAAGCCTCTAAATGCCATTTGAAATTTTCTTCTTTAATGATGATTTTTATCAAACTTGTATATTTAAGTTCAGTAATTTCACTTAAATGGCAATGATAATTATCTATTAATTGTTATTTAAGTCAAATTACTGAACTTAAATATACAAGTGTGATAAAAATCATCATTAAAGATGAAAATTTCAAATGGCATTTAGAGGCTTTTGCATCTGAACTCTTTAGATGCATTTTCAAAATACTGCAGCAAAAGAAGTCTTGATAAACTAGTTTGCCAAGTAAACTAGTGACCCTAATCCTATTCCTGCTTCTCTTTCCTTTTACAATCTCTTTTTCCCCCTCTATCTCGTTGCTGCTTTGTAATCCATGTCTCCTGTGCCCTGCTGGGAGGTCACTGGGCATGAGGAGGTGGATCAGCAGTAGCTGCGAATGCCGCAGTGTAAAGTTACACGCTCCGGAGACTTGCATGAGCTCACACTGGATAACACTTGCGCCCTGATGGAATGGGCTGTATGCACGGCGGTATTTCCGGTGGAGGTTTAAGGATGCTCGATAACTTCCGCCGATCGTAGAGTCCAATGCAATACCGAGAATTTTTATTGAATTTTATACTCCATGGCTAGTAAAGAAACGTTAGTCACAAAAACAGACACCCCTCGTTGTGTTTATGCTTCTTTTTAAAATTATATTAAATAAACATAACTACATATAAAATTACATCTAAACGCATGAAAGTTTCGTTTCAAAGACGGGAGGACAGTACATTTTGAAGACTCTGCCATAATCCCGTTTTCCTCGGTTTTCCACCACTTTAATCTCCCCAAACGGAAACTGAAGAGCATCCTTGCGTCAAATGCGGAACTTATGCATGCATATAGCCCATTGCGGATGAACATGCAAATGTTTGGGGTTTTTTTTTCAATCATGGAGGGTAATTTTCACTGACTTCTATAATTATTAGGGGTGTAACGGGACAAAAATCACGGTTCGGTACGTACCTTGGTTTTAAAGTCACGGTTCGTTACGTTTTCCTATTTTCCTATTAGTTAGAAGAAGAAAAAATTAAGAGTTTCAAGAGTTTTCCTATCTTGAAACTTTCAGGTTTATAAATGGGAGTCATCTTTGAAGGATGAACAAATAATGTTTTGGTGATCACATTAAAAATAACATTTGAATATCTATTTATTTATATAATATTTGAGATTTGAAAGATGTGTGAAGTACTTGAAAGCATTTCACTATTACAGCCAAACTGACTACAGTTAGTGTTACACTATTAAATCCATGGTGAATTATTATTATTATTATTATTATTATTAATTAATTAATAATAATATTAATAAATAGAATTATATCCCCTAAACCCAAACAATCAATTTGATCATTTAAAAGTAGGGATGCACCGAAATGAAAATTCTGGGCACAAAACCAGCCGAAAATTCAGGATGCACATGGCAATAAAATCAAACCGAAATAATCAATTAAATCAAACTTATTTAATAATCAACGCTAAAAAGGAGTTGTAAGCATTTAAATTGCACATAAGGCAGTTTAAATAAACTTTTTTTGTTTCTACTGCAGTTTGTAGGTAAAAGAGACATTTAAATACATTTAAGACATTTAATTTATTTAAAAATGCATTAAATAATAAAAGACATCATTAACAGTTAAAAATATAATGAATATGTAATACAGAAGAGGTGAAACAGATTGCATTATGTTGATATCGGGTTACAAAAATGCGATGATAAGTATTGTTGATGTAAACGATGCGATTCCGAGACTTCGCTTACTGTATTTAAAAGGTATAATTAACCCAAAAATATAAATTCAGTCATCATGTACTCACCCTCATGTCGTTTCAAATCTGTAATATTTTTCATTCAACTTCCAAACACAAATGAAGATTAAAGAAACCTGAGAGATTTATGTCTCTCCATTTATGGTAATTTTCCACATCCCTCAAAGTGAAAGCTCACACATAATTTAAATCACCATATCACATTTACATTTAGTAGTATGATTATTCAAAGTGTTTTAGATAGCTTATTCTGATATGTGTAGTACATTAATAGCAGGAGATGCGGGACATCGTGAGTACCAGGAGAGTCTGTGCGAATGTCTGCATTGAAAGCGCGAGTACTGAGAGAGGAAGTAAGTTAGTAGTTTAATGTAATAATGTCACTGAAACTCCATTATGTTGAATATAAATGCTTAATAATGTAATTGGAAGAATATTTGTGGGTCTTGATAATAATATTAATAATAATAATTAATAATATAATAAACAAAACTCCTTTATTCTGACTTGCAATACAATAGTGCATACATTTAGCAAAATGCTTTTCTCTGGAGTAATTTTTTCTAGCTAACTAATGAGTTACTGGACATTGAATATCTCACTTGAGGTAAATGTAACGTCAAGTGATTGTATAGTCAACAAGCTGTTTTATGGATGCCTTTTCCTAGTTAAAACGCTGATTAAACATGATTCATTTCGGTTGTAAATACACCTGGTGTTCACCCATGTTTATTTCGTGCTTTAACTAGTTAAACTTTGACTTTTAGCTATATATTCAAAAAGCACCCAAACCAACACCATTTCGAAATAAAAATCAACAGAATTTTTAAGTTAAGACTTTGCTTCATATTAAAAGTAACAAGCTTTTGTGATTATTGGATGGCAGCCACACAACAAATGTTTAGTAAAGTTTTGTTCACGCTGTCCCACAACAGAAAACAGCACCGACTAAAAGATTTTAGTATTAGAAAACCATTTTATTACAGATTAAAATCAAGAAAGTATTTAATATGTTCAATACAAAGCTAGTCCACACAGCTGACACTGATCCGGACACTGATTTTGGCTCTCCAAAACCATATTGACACGAAACTAGATGCACTGAAATTTCAGCTACAGGAAATTGTCGCCTGAAGCATCACTATTAACTCTAAATTGTAATGTAAACTCAAGCATTTTCTGTAAAGCTGCATTTAAACATGTATTGTGAAAAGCACTATACTGTATGTATTGCTATAAAGCACTATAGCACTATGTATTATGATTGTGAAATAATTCACAACCACAATATATACATTGACATCTACATCCAAATCCATACATACAAATGCAGATAGATGTCTTTGGGTGTTGTCATATCTTGTAACATTTGTAAACACTCAAAAACTTGGCTTTATAAAAACACTCTTAACATCACCCCATTACCCTGTCTATTCTCCTTTTTCCAATAAAATAAGATCTAACCCCCCATTTAATTTATTTATTTTTTTAATAAAATTACATTGTTTCATAGCCCAGGAAATACCTCAAAGCCATGTACAATGCCTAATGCTGTTTTAAAACAAGATGTTTCTACAGTCACGATGGCATGATGCCACAAAGAGAGCAGACGTTTTGACTGTGTGTGTGTGTGTGTGTGTGTGTGTGTGTGTGTGTGTGTGTGTGTTCTGGTAATCATCACTTTGTGGGGACAAGAATCTGTTTACACAGTCACGTAATGGGGACCTCTTGCGTTGTGGGGACCAAAAATCAGGTCCCCATAAGGTTAACCCATTTAATTGGATAGAGGAACTATTCTGAAGGTTCTGGGCGGAGTTTTAGCATTGGCCCATAACACATGATTATCAGGTATTGTGCGTGTGTGTAGCGGGAGCTCTGCTGCGCCCCCAAACATTTTTGGCTGGTAATGCACTCACTTCTCCACACACACATTTTCCAATTATGGGTGGGTACCGCCCACTTCCGGGTCCTCGTTAGGAAGGAGTTCGACAGCAACTTGAAAATACAAGTATTAAATTGATAACGTTACTTCACACGGAGAACAAAGAAGAAGATTAACGTTATTTACTGGAGATGCCAACGATCTGAACTTCTGCCGAGGATAAAAAGTGAAGCTTAAGGTAAGCACACATAATAAATCAATTAGGTTAATTAGATTAGTCTGCGGGCTAGCTAGTTAGTGCTAATTGTTGAGGCTAACGCAGTTAAGTGTGGCCTTACATGTTTCTCTGTTTTTCCAATTAGCGATCACATAATCATGCAATTTCATGTTAAGGACTTAATTTTAACTGAAAAGTGTTGTGTAGTCTGACTGATTGCTAATGGATTCGGTTTTTAAGGTTGTTTTTGTCTAGTTTGCGCTAGTGCTGGACGGTGGCTTATTTTATATTTTAAATTGAAGATATCTTACATGTAACGTTAACACTTATGTTTGACTGATCAATAATTGTTTTTACATTTAAATTAACTCTATAGGCAGCATATACAAGCCACAGATCTTGACCAAAGTGCTTAACAGAGAAATTAAGTTGGCTAAAATAAAACAAAAACTAAAATAGAAAGTAGCTTTAAGAATAAACTTAATTTTAATTATGACGGTAGTTAAAATAAACTGGGGTTTGTATGGTGAGCTCGTTCAAAAGAGTAACTTGGTTAGGTTAAGGACCAAATGAATAGTTAAATAATTGCCAAGGCTAATGTTACCTGGAATAAAATAGAAGATGGTGAGTTGATGCTCTCAAGGCTAGCATTGTTGTGCCAGTCAATAAATCTAATATTATTTTATAGAGTTCATATGTCTTGTCTTACACTGATGCATACAATATCATTGTAATGCTGTAACATTACAATACCATTTTTATCTACTTCTTGAACATATTAGTTGAATTCTGCGTATCTTCATTTTCAGTGTAATTACTTTCACATGTTTTTATTTTTCATCAGTTTGAAATGCCACCACGAATCAGCCCCCTTAAGGATGCCATGCATCATGTTGTTTCAAAAACTGACAAAACATTCAAATTAGATGTGAAGTATATCAGTGCAGTGAAAGGTAAGGTGGTGTGATTTTTATCATGAAATATTTACCAAGATATGCATTTCCTAACCATAATCTTATGAGCATGTAATGCAAAACTCCTGGGTATATTTAATCAGACCCCTGGTTGCAGCTTATTTTAAATCAGCTGCCAACTATTGATGACTTTTTTAGTGTATTTGGTATCCTTTATCTATAAGATTTTATTAATTTAAAATTTATTTTTTTCTGTATTTGCAGGACGTGGTCTATTTGCAAAGGCTGCCTTTTGCAAAGGTGATTTTGTTGTTGAGTACAGGGGAGATATGATAAATGAAGCAGAACTTCAGAGGAGAAGAAAACGTTACCACGCATCCTGTGCTGCATTTATGTTTGATTTCAAGTGGCGAGGGAAAACATGGTGGTAAGAAGTCAAGTTGTACCAAAGCTATATAAAAAGATAGTAAAATACATTGATTTGTGGTGGTTTAATTGTATTACTTGTAATCATCCTTTTCTCATGGTTTCATATTTAAGTATTGACGCGTCAAGGGAAGATGGATCGTATGGGCGTATCGCTAATGATTGCCACAATCATCCAAATTGTAAGATGAAAAAAATTGACGTCAATGGAAAGCCTCACCTTTGTCTGTTTGCCCTGAATGACATTAAAGAAGGAGAAGAAATTGCCTATGATTATGGGGAGAAGACTACCCATGGAGAACACAAGTATGTTGTTAAGCACACTGTGTACAAAATAGGTCATATTTTTGCAACATGTCAACAAATTTGTTGGTTGAATAGATTAGAATTTAAATCTATTAGAAATCTATGAATCAAATTTGTCTGTTCCAATAAATTATATCCAAATCCCCAAATCAACTCTCCTCAACAGGTGAGTTTAGGTGAATCATTGTGAATGTTGTCTCTTACAGATGACCAGCGTTGCTGTTAAACCAGCACAGTGAATGACTCTGATCCTTCTCTCCAGTCAGTGACTCAGATGGATGAAGAATCTGCTCAAATCAACCCTCCTCAACAGGTGAGTTCACATTCATTAGTAAAGATTTAGGTTTTTTGTCATGGTTTAGTGATTTGTAAGCATATTTTGATGAGTATCTGGTGTAAACTAGTATATTAAACTGTTTTACGACATGTGCTCAGTAGATCAGTTGTAGTGCAGTATTTAGGGCCACTTTTATCCTTCACAGGATTTTTTTTCTGGGTTAATTGTTGCATTGAAATGGACACTTACGACGTCCCCACAACACACTTTTGGTCAGTATTTGAGTTCACACCCGTGTTTTGAATTTGATGAAACTGGTCCCCATAAGGAACTATAACGTTGTGTGTGTAAAGTCCCCATGAGGCTGGTTTTAATCCAGATGTGTGTGTGTGAGCGCGCACTAGAGTTAGACTGGACAGGAAATATGTTATAGATGTAGTTGATTTCGTTTTACATTCTCAAATCATGTGGTATCTGCTTCAGATTTCTCTCATCTTTTTCCATTTTCTAAAATCTTGTCATTGTGAATGTTGTCTTACAGATGACCAGAGTTACTGTTAAAACCAGCACAGTGAATGACTCTGATCCTTCTCTCCAGTCAGTGACTCAGATGGATGAAGAATCTGCTCAAATCAACTCTCCTCAACCGGTGAGTTCACATTCATTAGTAAAGATTTAGGTTTTTTGTCATGGTTTAGTGATTTGTAAGCATATTTTGATGAGTATCTGGTGTAAACTAGTACATTAAACTGTTTTACGACATGTGCCCAGTAGATCAGTTGTAGTGCAGTATTTAGGGCCACTTTTATCCTTCACGGGATTTTTTTCTGGGTTAATTGTTGCATTGAAATGGACACTCACGACGTCCCCACAACACACTTTTGGTCAGTATTTGAGTTCACACCCGTGTTTTGAATTTGATGAAACTGGTCCCCATAAGGAACTATAACGTTGTGTGTGTAAAGTCCCCATGAGGCTGGTTTTAATCCAGATGTGTGTGAGCGCACACAGAGTTAGACTGGACAGGAAATATGTTATAGATGTAGTTGATTTCGTTTTACATTCTCAAATCATGTGGTATCTGCTTCAGATTTCTCTTGTCTTTTTCCATTTTCTAAAATCTTGTCATTGTGAATGTTGTCTCTTACAGATGACCAGCGTTGCTGTTAAAACCAGCACAGTGAATGACTCTGATCCTTCTCTCCAGTCAGTGACTCAGATGGATGAAGAATCTGCTCAAATCAACTCTCCTCAACAGGTGAGTTCACATTCATTAGTAAAGATTTAGGTTTTTGTCACGGTTTAGTGATTTGTAAGCATATTTTGATGAGTATCTGGTGTAAACTAGTACATTAAACTGTTTTACGACATGTGCCCAGTAGATCAGTTGTAGTGCAGTATTTAGGGCCACTTTTATCCTTCACGGGATTTTTTTTCTGGGTTAATTGTTGCATTGAAATGGACACTTACGACGTCCCCACAACACACTTTTGGTCAGTATTTGAGTTCACACCCGTGTTTTTGAATTGATGAAACTGGTCCCCATAAGGAACTATAACGTGTTGTGTGTAAAGTCCCCATGAGGCTGGTTTTAATCCAGATGTGTGTGTGTGTGAGCGCGCACTAGAGTTAGACTGGACAGGAAATATGTTATAGATGTAGTTGATTCGTTTTACATTCTCAAATCATGTGGTATCTGCTTCAGATTTCTCTCATCTTTTTCCATTTTCTAAAATCTTGTCATTGTGAATGTTGTCTTACAGATGACCAGAGTTGCTCTTAAAACCAGCACAGTGAATGACTCTGATCCTTCTCTCCAGTCAGTGACTCAGATGGATGAAGAATCTGCTCAAATCAACTCTCCTCAACAGGTGAGTTCACATTCATTAGTAAAGATTTAGGTTTTTTGTCACGGTTTAGTGATTTGTAAGCATATTTTGATGAGTATCTGGTGTAAACTAGTACATTAAACTGTTTTACGACATGTGCCCAGTAGATCAGTTGTAGTGCAGTATTTAGGGCCACTTTTATCCTTCACAGGATTTTTTTTCTGGGTTAATTGTTGCATTGAAATGGACACTCACGACGTCCCACAACACACTTGGTCAGTATTTGAGTTCACACCCGTGTTTTGAATTTGATGAAACTGGTCCCCATAAGGAACTATAACGTTGTGTGTTGTAAAGTCCCCATGAGGCTGGTTTTAATCCAGATGTGTGTGAGCGCACACAGAGTTAGACTGGACAGGAAATATGTTATAGATGTAGTTGATTTTGTTTTACATTCTCAAATCATGTGGTATCTGCTTCAGATTTCTCTTGTCTTTTTTCCATTTTCTAAAATCTTGTCATTGTGAATGTTGTCTCTTACAGATGACCAGCGTGTTAAAACCAGCACAGTGAATGACTCTGATCCTTCTCTCCAGTCAGTGACTCAGATATGATGAAGAATCTGCTCAAATCAACTCTCTCTCAACAGGTGAGTTCACATTCATTAGTAAAGATTTAGGTTTTTTGTCACGGTTTAGTGATTTGTAAGCATATTTTGATGAGTATCTGGTGTAAACTAGTACATTAAACTGTTTTAACGACATGTGCCCAGTAGATCAGTTGTAGTGCAGTATTTAGGGCCACTTTTATCCTTCACAGGATTTTTTTTTCTGGGTTAATTGTTGCATTGAAATGGACACTCACGACGTCCCCACAACACACTTTTGGTCGTAGTATTTGAGTTCACACCCGTGTTTTGAATTGATGAAACTGGTCCCCATAAGGAACTATAACGTTGTGTGTGTAAAGTCCCCATGAGGCTGGTTTTAATCCAGATGTGTGTGTGTGAGCGCGCACTAGAGTTAGACTGGACAGGAAATATGTGTATAGATGTAGTTGATTTCATTTTACATTCTCAAATCATGTGGTATCTGCTTCCGATTTCTCTCATCTTTTTCCATTTTCTAAAATCTTGTCATTGTGAATGTTGTCTTACAGATGACCAGAGTTACTGTTAAAACAGCACAGTGAATGACTCTGATCCTTCTCTCCAGTCAGTGACTCAGATGGATGAAGAATCTGCTCAAATCAAACTCTCCTCAACAGGTGAGTTCACATTCATTAGTAAAGATTTAGGTTTTTGTCACGGTTTAGGTGATTTGTAAGCATATTTTGATGATGAGTATCTGGTGTAAACTAGTATAATTAACTGTTTTACGACATGTTGCCCAGTAGATCAGTTGTGAGTGCAGTATTTAGGGCCACTTTTATCCTTCACGGGATTTTTTTTTCTGGGTTAATTGTTGCATTGAAATGGACACTCACGACGTTCCCACAACACACTTTTGGTCAGTATTTGAGTTCACACCCGTGTTTTGAATTTGATGAAACTGGTCCCCATAAGGAACTATAACGTTGTGTGTGTAAAGTCCCCATGAGGCTGGT